AATTATCCCATATCATAGGTGCGCGCGGATCCCAAGACTTACGGTCTCCGTCCCCGATTATGGCTCCTGGAAACAACCATAGAAGAGTTCGAGCACTTTGTCTAGAACTGAGTTCTGTACTCTCAGCTAAAAATAAGATTAAAGACATGTTCAACAAGAATTCATTTCGCTATTATTTTGTCTTGCATTTTAACTCTCAAAGTGTGATTGAAAGGCTTCCTTCATTTTGCTCGACACCAGAAATCTGTGTATAGTATTATTTAGCAATAAGACTTAAAAATTTTGCCAAAATTTGCTGAAAAAGTCACGTTTGGCAGATATTACAGCAACAGAAATACATATGTCACAAACATGATATCAGTTTGAAGACAAAGCAAAACGGTGGTATGTGGCAATTAACGGTATGCGGTATTTCACAACAAACATCGGCGCAAAGAGACTCCCAGAATCAGTGACGGAAGACATTATATAGATTCCGCTGATCACTTTTCATTCAAATCTGTGACTTGTAACAGCAAGCCGGTGTTGCAAGTGTTGTTTACAACATTGATTGTTTTCTTGACTCACTCGTAGCACACGTTTGGATGGCAAAAGGGATTATATGTGACGAAAACTTAATGGTTTTATTGGCATTATTTGGTTTTTGGCGGTTTTCCAAAACGGCAGGTTATTTGCGTGTTTCTCGCAGAGTTCAACTGAATTCTTACTTATTCCAAAAACACAAGCGAAAGCTTTTGTAAAGAACTTCAGATGAAAACAATAGAGAGATCGTGATATCTTTTCTCGCGAAGTCCTCTTTAAAAGAATGATGGTTTGTTTTAGAAAAAGGTTGAATACCCCTGATGTGTGGTTTTGTCAGGTTTTATTCGTCGCCTGTCGTGAAGTTTGCATCAGTCGAAGCAGATCGATTGACTATCGCGGCGCGAAAACAAAAGAATGCGTGTAATAAGTACGGGATTTACGGCACTGTGTCCTTTGTGAAATGAGATAAATAATTTCCATCAGATTTCTGGTAAAGCCAGTCTGATATGCAGCTAACAAACGACTTTGCGTGTGATATTTCACCGGTGAGGTATTGATGGTGTTAATTTGAAATGCAAATAAACGTTCCTCAGTTCAAACTAGATTTCAGATGGTGCTATAACTTACGGTTCAACAGACAAAATATAGAGTTTTAGGTCATTGGAGTTAATGTTGAAAGTAACTTTCCATGCGGTAAAAAGAAAGTGTTACGTTGTGTCTTTGCATGTAACTTAGATTTAACTCAACAATATTGGGAATTTTTCGTAAATGTAACAGAATCCCGACCATGACAACTTGTTATTTATACATCATAGATTTCACTAATTTTTAAGCGCAATTTCAGATTTTTAAATATCCGAAATCATCTTCAAACAGTTCGATACGCAAAGCAGAAGAATATTCATGCTTTACTAAATAAATTGTTAAATACAATGTTAATTGTATTACATTCAAAGCTAAACACAAATTTTGCTCGGAAAAGTCTTACCAGCAATGTTTAGCCCGTCTGCAACACGAAGACACTAGGAAGAAGAACAAAGCAAACAGAACGGTTGAGAAGAATCGATAAACAAAGGAAAACGTTTCTCGTTTATAATCTCAAACATTCGCTTTTTTCAGTTACAACAGTGTACCTGATGCAGCACAAAAAGGAATGCAAGGATGTAATTCTTTCCAAAAACCATCTCCTTCGTTCCGCTAAAGACCCAAAATGTCTTTCACTTCTGGTTAGCCATACGCTTCATAGTCATAATGCTATGGATAGGTCTCTGAAGTTTTTCTCAGGCAACCAGGCATGATGCTGTTCCGCGCCAAGGTCGAGGTTGCATTCGGTAATATTCTCATGGCTCGAGTAACCTGTATCCAATGTAAAAGAAAAACCTCTTATTAATAATTGATAATACGTGGATAATTATCACGCCGATCGGTAATACTATAAGCCGAACTTTTGAAAATGCGTACCAAAGCAGCTTCAGGTGATTAGCGTTCAGCTCCGTTTTAAAATTAGTCAAAATAAGAAAAACGTAGTTGCCCAAGTGGTCATGGAATTAATTTACAGCGATATTTCCCTTAAGAAAGTAGCTTGTATGTCTCGAATAGCTCAGCGAGAGACAATATGGTTTATTTAACCGCATTTTCCCCGCAACATACGTACATCTCTAACTTTACCGATGTAACACAATCACAGTCGGGTCAACGGCAACTTGAAAATCTTTTCATCCTGAAGTCTATAAAATTAGCACTGTTTGAAGAAATCACCGTGAAAAAAGCTAAAATAAGAAATAAACGAACATATTTATAAAAATAAAAAACCGACAGGATTTTGAAAGGCAGCTAGATCTTTCGTTCAATTAAGGAGGAAAGGAAGAATTAATTATCAAATTGTTTCTCAACAAGTTCTTTAAAATAATAGTATAATATTATCGATCTATGGTCTTAACGTTTTAGCCTGAAACAAGACGTGCGGTTTGTATTGAATATTTAAATCAATATTTTTCGCAGCGAAATTTTCTAAAGAGCGCTTGGGGCTATTTGTCGGCGTCGTTCAAATATTTTTAGATATTCTAATATAAGAAATTAATGATACTCTTCTTTTGATATTTCCTGTTTTGCTTGGGCCACGGGCTCCTTCCTTCCTGTTAGAAATGGCGGGAAAATAAACGCTACCGCATTTGATCTTGCGGGAAGCTTTCATACTTTTCACTTATTATGCAATACTTATGCGGCTATTTAATGACTGAACATATACAGCTTCTATGCTTAAATACGAATCACCAAGTTCCATCAGCTATCAGGGAAGAAATTCATCTCAGACGTTTTTAATAAAAAGAGATTATTTTCATTTGATTTCTATCGGGTTGCGTGCGTAGAGCTTGGTCCTCCGCAAATACAATCTCTTGCAACACTTGATTATATAAGTCACATTTACGAGATAGTTACTCTTTGTTACCAGTTCATTCAACTAATCAATTTATCACACATTGTTTACAGCTCCTTTCACATTTTGTCAACGCTTATCATTATTTTATTTGGATTTGGATTAATTATTAACAAAAAATATTGTCAAATTCTAGATCTTCTCCTGATCTGTTTTTTTTTTCTATATCAATCCCAGAAAACAAACTTTCTTTTCTGATTATATTCTGCAAGCAAGTGTGATTGTAGCCATCAAAGTCTCGTCCGGTAATATAAAGAACGTAAAATTACAATCGATTTTATCCAATTGATGTATGGACATCTCTTTTATTCAATGACAGACTGTTGGCGCCCAGTGGTTTCAAAGCAAAGCTTAAATGTGCGCAAACAAATGTACATACACGACTTAAACGTGGTAGGTCCCAAATCCTACTGAGTGACGCTGTTTTTCTTTTCGTGTGTCAGTGAACGATTGTTATTGCAGTACATCGAAATATAAACAATATTAAAATAGCAATTGAGTGTTGCTTGAAACGATTGAAAGACAAATAAAGTATCTCATGAAACATCTTATTTCACTTTCACCATACACGACTGTGCTGTCATTTTAATATAATGGATGAATAGTTTTATCTTTTCAATCTTTTTCAAATACCTGGGTTGCGGTTTCCTGTTCTAGACTAAAGAAAATGACAACATGCAAACAGTTTTTTTCTTGCTATTTTTAAGCCTTTGCTGATTATTATGGATTAAGCACTTTAAGTAACGATGCTTTTTAATATTGGTTTAGATTTTTACTACTGAGCATTCAAACATGAAAAATATAATAAAAAGTGACTGTTTTTTTAAAAGAAAATATAAAATTTGGTAATTTCAGGAGTTTTTTTTATAGTACAGTGACGAAGCATTCGAACGCGTATAGAAAACGCGCACAGCCATTCACACATACCTGCTAACAATATAAATACGTTGTTATATGCAGTCCTCGTGCCATCACGTTCGAAGGATTCTTACTCTCCAAGAACAAAATAAAGCAAACAACACTGGCTTATGGCCAAATCGATTTCACTTTTTCTTTATAGAAAGTGAAGCCAAGAGTCAAAAGTGTCATTTTTCTGACCTTTTTCCATCGTAAAAATATATGTTTACAAACAATGTTTTGTCATTAAAATTTACCAACTTTTAACCATACTGGATCAATTTGGAACAGACAACGTAGGCAAAGTGTTAATTGAAAAACAAACAGTATTACATCAAGTTAATATTGAATAGCTTTTATATGAGTGGTTTCAAAATTTTACAATTGTTTCATTCACAGAAAAACGTCAGCATAGTTAATAGTGCCAAATTATTGCAACGGTCTCACGAAAGAGTATCACCCACAGTCGATGGTTATAATAACCTTAGATAGAGTGATAAGTGGTGCAAAATGAACGTATTGCTGAGTAGCTTTCATTTGAATGGTTTTGTAATTAGGTTTCATTCCCAGACTTAAAGTTAGAAGCACCTTATACAACGTGATAGAGATAAACATATGAAAGTACTACTCAATAACTTTCATTTAATTAAACAGTCACATATTGGTGTTTCATCCACAAAACGAAAAGTTAAAACCAGCTTGCAGAGTAATAACAAACAGTACTGCTCTCAAGTATCTCACGCCAATACCAGACAGTAATAAAACTGTTGCCTCCCAACCCTTACATGATGAAATATCCTTTCTGTATTGCCTCATTAAGCTAGAATTCTTTGTTAAAAGAAGCTTGAATTGCCCAATGATGCTGTGGATTCACTTCCTCAGAGAACTTCTAATTTGAGGTTTTTTTGGGGAAGAATTTGTTTATGAAATTGATTTGAAATGCTTTGTTATTTGTTTGTGAAACTTAATTAAGCGGTGAAAACTGTTACTTTGTCATTAAAAGTTGGAATAGAACTATTCCTTTGTGAAACGAAATCAGAACGATGTATGTTTTAGAATTTAAAAAACGCTGACTTTCATCAAGATTTTTAACAAAACCGGAACATAAATGAACTTATGAAATGTCATGTCAAAACTACTTTGTTCTGATTGTGGCAATGCTTCGTGCAAGGGTTCTCGCAATAAATTTCCAAGACGTATTCATTATTCTGTAGCTGAGGGCGATTTCTATAACTTGGTTCTAGTAACTTCCTTCAATAGAAACGTTCGACACATCGATGTCGCTTTCTTAGTTTTGTGCTCGAACACCAGTTTTCGTGCAAGTTGCTTTGCATCAAAATTTGAAGGCACGCAATTGCGTTCGTAATAATTAGCTGCTCAACAGAAACGGACACAGCTCTCTTAAAAACTCCGGCCAATAGCTATTCTTATGCTAAATAGCGTTGGAGTATTTCACTTTACTTTATACTATAGGATATAAATATAAGTCCTCGGGACAAAGGAGTTTTATACCCGGTGTAGAGCAAATAATGTTTGTGAGCAAATATCAGGATGAAAATATCTTAATGGCTTTAGAAAGCGTATAACAAAAATAATGCAGTTTTACAATTAATTAGGGTAAATATATTTTTTTAAAATCATCAAAGCCGTTTTAAAAATAGAAGTACTCCGTTATGTCTGTTGTAGAAAATTTCACAACGTAACAATTGTAATACAGATATTAATCTAATTGTGTCTGTTTTTTTTTTGCTATAGATTTTCAGAGGAAGTCTAAATTTGCAGCCTTTATGTCTTCAGAACTCAAATAGTTTTTGGCAAGTGTTTCAGAGAAATTGCAGCTTTGTCGTTGAAGTTTCCGCTTTTTTCCTGCAGGTTTGAGAAAATCTGCGTCTCTTGTCCACGGAGACAACTTAAAAACCAATGTTGGTAAATAAGTTGAACGAAACAGTACTCTAAGGTGGCAGGTGATTTTTTCACAACTAACAGCGCGGTAACAAATCCTATGTCACGGAATATAAAAACTGATGTAAACTATATTGCCTTTTAGGTTACTGCAAACAAAATATATGGCACGTTGGACTGGAAGTAATTGTGAAATCAAAAACCCAAACATCATTTCTGCCATTGTTTTTAAAAGTAATTATTCATTGCTTCTTTCTCCTGTGAACAACATCAAATTGAAATTTTTGTGTATCGCGCTTTTGTTGGCGAAGAAAACTTTGGTTTATCGGAATCAAATTTACTTGTTAATATTACTAACTAAAACGATGTATGTGGATGCGAATTTTAGCCCAAATCGATCAAAGAAAGATCATTTTGAACTGAACTTAGCAGAAAGTCAAGTTGTAATTTTAGCAAAAACAGCAGGCCACCCTTCGAACGAAAAAAAATGTCAATATACAACAATTTTGCGATACATTACTAGATCCAGCGAGGTATAAACTATAAAATATACAAGGAAACTGCCCGACTAAACTTTCAACAAATAAATATTTGCTTCACTCACCTTTCTTAGACTTTTTTATAGCAGAAGCACCTCACCAGGAAATGATAAATGCAAAGGCCTGCGCTTGACAGTTCAGTCAAATTATTCGAGTTCATTTCGTATGTCGGCTTAGCTGACCGTGAATTCAAAAAGCTTGAAAATTTTTACTAAAAAATCGCTTTGCTTATCCTTTATAAGCGAGGATCATTTCAGTTAGATGACAACATACACGGGGTGCCGGGTATTCACGACGCAAGATGACAGAAAATCTGTGTTTTTACTATACTTTCCCATAGCAACCCAACTGATATCACGTTGAGGCGAAATATAAATTGTTTCGAATAACTGATATAGTAAGAAATGATTTTTGTAACTGATTTTTTTGTTTTTTCATTTCAGGGAAATACTGATAATTATTATTCTGATGTTTCAGCTTTATCGGAGTATTTGATTATTTTAAGCTTGCCGACTACTAGGTGAATCATGATATTTCATAATAACTGTAATGGAAGCATACATAGTTGCTTTCCGTGTGCAACTTGACAGATTTTCTACTTGTGCGTTATCCCTTGGAGGTCCATTTCGTATTTTGTCAACGATATATAAGATGATATCACATTTATTCAAATACGGTCTAGACTGTTACAACCGTGAGAGCAGGGGCGGATCCAGGAATTTCTGAAAGGGGGGCTTGTACACTATTGTAGTAACCTTTAACGCCAATGGTGTGGAAGGCGAGTTACGGCCCCGTACACTGCGCGAAAAGCCAAATATTCGGGCCCGAATTCGCTCGAATACGGATCGGCGCACGCCGCG